TGGAAAAAAACCCCAAAAATTCCAATGAAATTTACAGCAAAACCAACATCATCCAACATTTTGTCCTCGAAGGCCTTTCACCCAGAAAGTGTTGTAAGAAAAACTGAAACAGGACAGTTATGACTGATAAAAAGCAGTAAATTTCAATTTTCACTGGGGATTCAACGCGGTAAATCCACAAGCGCTTTAAGATCCGTTAAACGCGCTTATGAAGAAAAATGGCTTCAAAACGACGAGAAAAACAATGAATTGGATGGGTAATGAACAGTTTGCTTATACAGTTTCACATAAAACTTGAAGACCATTGATCTTTCGGGCATCGAATCACCAAAAAATATGTGAAATTTAAATTAATCTGAAAAAATCAATTGCAAAATTAATCTAAAATCTTAACCTAAAATAAATTTAAAAGTTTAAATGAATCTAAAAAATCCGCGTAAAATTCAATTTCACATTTGCAATTTCCCTCTTCACAGTGACAAAGTTAATATAACACTTTCACATAAATTAAGATTAAAAAAAATATACGAAGTCGTTTTCTAAAAAAAAACTTAAAATTACGGTGAAATATCTATTTACGGTGAAAAAGTTTAAAATTACGGTGAAACAAATTTCGATTAAAAAAAAGTATACGATGTCGTTTTTTTTTAAAAAAAAAAGTAATTAAAGTTACAGTGAAATATCGCTGCCCATCAACAGATCCATCATTTTTGCCCAGTGGCTCATCCAGAACGATGCCAATCCATTCGCCCGGAGCAAACCGAGTCAGGCCAATATATACAACATTACCAACTCGTCCACCAATTTGACAACGATCACCAATCTCCCAGTCGCCAACATTACTCACCGCTGATATTATCGATTCTTTGCCTGCAAAAAAATGCAAAAAATAAACGTTGCTTTTGAAAATTTCTACTTTATACTCCAATTTCTGAATTCGCTGGCACTATGCCAATTTTTCGTAGGGCTAACTTTGTGCCACCACTGACCACTATCAGTCTGACCAGCGTTTGGTAATACAGCGAAGACTATCAATCGTACAGCGCCTATACAAAAGATGTAAAAAATGTAAGCTTATAAGGTGCAGCATGGAAAATAAAAAAAAAAAAACCAAATGCACTAGAGGTACTGCAATTTTTCGAAAGTTTGAAAATCAAAAAAAAAAAAATTTTTTCTTGCAATCTCTTCTTCACCCAGCGCCCTCTTTTTCAAGAGAAAAAAAAATAAA